TCTCCGTCTGGGAGAGTAGCTGCAGCGCCTGTGTACCAAGCTGGAGGATTTAGTGTACTCTAGTACTCCAGACTGCTGTGCCAGTTTGGAGGTCGGGAGCTCGGAGAGCGTCCGGTACCTTCTCTGATGTTCACTTCAGTAGTCAATTTCTCCCCTGAAGAAACATGCGGGTGGCTTGGCTTATACCCAAGTTCCTCCTGGGAAATGGCATCTGAGACCCCAAAGCATTTAGGAGGCACAAAAGCGAACTGGATGTTTGGCTGCTCTAGTTCCAAAAGCCAGCTCCTGTAGAAGTTGGCAAATAAGACCTACAGGCCAAAGTCACACTGAGCCAAATTACCGATTTATACTCTGTCTGATGAGCTCTGTCTCACAGAGCAAAGTGGTTGGCTGCAAAACCAGAAAATTCTTTTCTCAGAAGCATTTCTCTTTCTTTCCTTCTTCCTTTCTTCTTTCCTTCCTTCCTTCCTTCCTTCCTTCCTTCCTTCCTTCCTTCCTTCCTTCCTTCCTTCCTTCTTTCTTTCTTTCTTTATTTCATTTAGACTCCATAAAGAAGATCCAGGAAACAGTGCCCAGAATTCAAGTCGTTTTGCTTCTTTCTACCCTCACATGCCCCAGTCATAAGACAGGACTAAACTGGAGCATGAGGCAAAAACAGGATCTGGCCAAAGAAGTTCCTCTACATCCTTCCCACCCTCCACTTCAGCGGTGGCCTTCTTGGGGGCGGATGGCTGCACTAAACAGCCACCATGTCCCCAGAAGTCCTCTTGGCCATGACTCCTGCAACAGTCTGGTCCTTATCTGTCCATAACTCAGCCCCTTTCTCTCCATGATGCCCATAAAGATACAACTTTATGTCAGAGTTTTCCCTAGGGCATAGAACCACAGGCTACCCACCCCCACACCCCCTCACACAAATAGCATCATGGGAAAAGAAAATCCATCTACAGGTAAATCAAGGGAAGCGCAAGTCAGTGTGCAATAGGGTCTGAGGACATGGTCGACTCAAGCAGTCGTTTCTTCTGTGCTACGCTCCCCTCTTTGCAAACCTTATCTTGCCTGCCCTCCCTTAGTGGCAGCTACACGACCTACTCCCTGGCCATCAATAATCGAGTCAGGAGCAAACGCATGACCCCTTTTAAACCAATCAGGCCTCTGTATCCGGACTTGGGGTTGGAACCCTGAAAGCCTGAGGCCACCAGTTGTCTGTGGGCGTTGGACCTATGAGATGCTATGGGTTACAGGAGTAGAGCAGTGGCGCTCAACCTGTGGGTTCAGACCCCTCCACAGGGGTAGCCTAAGACCATGTGAATATCAGATATTCATGTTAAAATTGGTAACAGTGGCAGCATTACAGCTATGAAGGAGCAATGAGCGTAATTTTATGGTTGGGGGTCACCACACCATGAGGAACTGTGTTAAGGGGTCGCAGCATCAGCAACGCTGAGAACCACTGCTCTAGAGAGCGCCGGCTCTACGCAGTGAGTATAGTCCAAGGAGCTGGACTGAGGGAAGAGAGAGAGACTCAGACAGAGACAGTGGAGAGGCAGGGATGGGAGAGTCGCTGCTAGAGAGAAACTCAGACAAAGATAGTGGAGAGGCAGGGATTAGAGAGTACCTCCAGCTGGGTTTCGTCACATTTCTGTACAAACGGGAAAGTCATTCTCTCTCTGCTTACAACAGTCTGAGCAGGTTTCTGGTCTAGAAACAAAATGTTTCTCCATGCTAAGATGAAACAGCTGGGATACAGGTTGTAAGGGAGGCAGAGAGTAAATCTTAGGAGTCCCACTTCATGCCCAATATTCATATATTCCAAACCGCAATGTGATAGTCCTGCTTCAGTGTGTCAACTTGCCCAAATTTCTGTTTGGACAAGTGCAGCATATTTATGTCTAACATAGCGCTGGGGAGACTTTGCTGAGCAGACACAGACCTGGAGACCATAAAGAAAAATGGGTGAATAAGACTCTAAATCTTAAATTGCCTTTCACAAAGGCTCTACGAACAAAACCAAAGGCAACGGATCTTGTGGCTATGAGGACTGTACACTGCTTCAAGGGAGGCCATTGGCTGGGCCCAGCCTTGGCTTCCTGGTTGCCACATCCGCTGAGTGTTACCGTTGGCCGAAGACCGTGGCCTCTGCTTGTCTCAGAGTGGGGCAGTGAACAGGAAGGAAGAAGGAAGGCACGGGATCCAGGAAGACTGGCTGAGAGAAGCAGAGGGAGCAAGAGAGTTGGAGACGAGGGAAGCAATCCGCCTCTGCTCTCTTTTCCCCCACCCTCGTGGGGCACTGACTCACTGGTGTGTGCCTGTTTTAGGGATTCGATGTGAAAGGGAGCTTCAGAAGCCAGCAGCGACAAATGATCCACAATTCAAACCCTCGTCATCGCTCCTAAGCCTGTGCTTGGGCAAATTCAGTTATTGCACGTTGGCCTAAAGGCCTCTGAGCTGACTCTTCGGCGTCTAACATTTCCTTCCTTTTGTCCTAAGCAAAATTCCCTTTATTTTTACCACCCACTAGAAGGGAGAATTTAAATTAAGTCCTTTTATTTAACAGCTTGCCAAACAATAAACAGCTCTCTCAAACTAAGCCCCATCTTATCTAGGGAGAGGGCAATAAAAACTGATTTATGCAGTCAAGAGGATGGCGAGACGTTTTTATAGCATCACAGATGGTTTTGCAAATTGCAGAGCCCCATTATTTGGTTCTGTAGCTCTCAATCTTTCAGCCTGTGATGTGAAAACAGTACGAGCAGGCTCCTTCCCTCATCTCTGGTTCCGCGGGTAGATTGTCTACCCCTAGAAGCACCTTGAGTCTTACAGAAAAGATTCAGACGGTGAAATCGTTCCGTAGTTCACTGCATGAGAGGGTAATACTACGAGGGAGGCTTGCAGGAAAAGTGATCTGGCCCAGTGGTGCTTGGCTTCACACAGCCCTGAGCTGTTGGGCTGGGGGCGGGGAGAGCAATGCGAGCCTGCCGAGGAGCACCTTCCACAGCTCTAGAGCAGGCCCTAGAGGGGTGAGATGATGAGAGAAACTAGAGCCCACTCTGCTTCTCTCCACCTATTCTGTCCCAGCTGCAGCCTGGTGTATTGGCACATTTGATTTGCTGGAGCACAACACCTATGAAAATCAACTTAAAGGAGGAGAAACTGTTTCAGCTCACAGTTTCAGAGGCTTCAGTCTGTGGACATTTAGTCCCATTTCTTCAGGGGCATGGCCAAGCAGTGGTGGGAATCTCGTAGTGAAACACAGAGAAGTGGGGGGGCAGGAAGGAGAGGGGGAAGGGAGGAGAGGAGGGAAGAGAGGAGAGGGGGAGGTGGGAAGGGGAGGATGGGGAGGGGGAAGGGAGGAGAGGGGGAGAGGTGGGAACGGAGGAGAGGGGGAGAGGGAGGAGAGGGAGGAGAGGGGGAAGGGAGGAGAGGGGAGAGGGGGAAGGGAGGAGATGGGGAGAGGGAGGAGAGGGGGAGAGGGGGAAGGGAGGAGAGGGGAAGAGGTGGGAAGGGGAGGAGGGAGAGGAGGGAAGGAAGGAGAGGGAGGAGAGGGAGGAGAGGGAGGAGAGGTGGGAAGGGAGGAATGCCAGGGATAAACATCTATAAGACAGAGTTAGTCCTCAAGGGCAGACTTCTGAGGACACCAGTTAGCCTGGCATCCTGGTTTCTGTAGTCTTCCAGTAGTCAGTTGAATGGATGTGCCCATCAATGGATTAATCAGTTACTGAAGAGGGAGACCTAGTTTTCTGAACATGGCTCTGCTGGGGACAAGGCCTTCAGAAAATAAGCTTTTAGGGAACATTTAAAATCCAAACCATGACAATGGAGATCAGATCTATTCTCAGTGTACCTCTGGTCTCTTTCTCTGGGTCCTTGAGATTGGCCCCGGGTGAGAGGGAGCCACACTGGTGGAAAGAGCCTGGGGCCATGCTGACTCCGTGTGAGTGCCAGCTCCACTCTGGAATTCCAAATGTTGCTTCATTTTAAAACGGGCATGACACAAATATGCCCAGAGCGAGGGCTCTCAGGATAATTAAACGAAACAAGATCTGTAGAGCAGTTGCCTCCCTTCCTGCCACCATAAATGATGACTGTTTTGAAAAGCATAGTGGTGTGGTGTCTTAGGGTTTCTATTGCTGTGAAGAGACCATGACCACAGCAACTCTTATAAAGGAAGACATTTACAGTTTCAAATGGCAGCATTCAGGCAGACACAGTGCTGACTACATCGTGATCAGAAGGCATCAGGAAAGTGGACTGTCGGGCACTCTGAGAGAAGTTTGGGCAGAAGAGACCTAAAATTTCACCCCCAGGGTGGCACACTTCCTCCAACAAGGCCACACCTACATTAACAAGGCCACACCCCTTAATAGTGCCACTCTCTCTGGGATTATGGGGGACAATTACATTCAGACTACCACAGGTGGGGAGGAGTGGTTCTTCCAAAGGCAGAGCCCAATATTTTCCTTGGCTTTTATTTTTTTCTTGTATAAAATATTCTCTTTTAAATGGTAACCAAATAAAAATTGTTAGAATTTTATAATTCATATGACTGAATTGATAGAACTTTGGTAGTTTTATTGTATTTCTGATTTTAATAAAGATCTGTTTTCTTTTTTCTACTCTTTTGTGATTTTAGGGTATTTCACTGAAAAAATAGATGTTACATTGGTGTGAGATTGTACTTTAATATGGATATACATTGGTATAGATGTTACATTGGTGTGAGATTGTACTTTAATATGGATGCACATTGGTATAGATGTTACATTGGTGTGAGATTGTACTTTAATATGGATGTACATTGGTATAGATGTTACATTGGTGTGAGATTGTACTTTAATATGGATATACATTGGTATGGGGCGTAGGTCGTGGTATACCCTGTAAGATCCACCTCTATGCTTTATGTTACGGTTCAACGGGCTTATTTTTCTGAATTTAGGGTGAACCATAAACACCTAGACCCTCAGCGAAACTAGTCGTGCCCCCACTCTATTTTGCAGATGTGGAAATCGAGCTTTAAAGTGATTGCCCTGTGTCACGCATCTCAGAAGATGTTGGGACCGACAGTCCATGTTTCAGCAGCCGGTCACACTTCTGTGCCTCCGTACTTGGCAGCTACAGACCTGCCCAGACAAGCCTTGGTCTCTGGTGTGCAGCTCTGTCACCCAAAGGCAACTGGCAGGTTCGTGTGAGGCCACCGGTGCCAATTCACCAGGTGTGGCGTCTGCACAGAGAGCGACACTGGTAAGATGAGTGACACATGGAGGCTCTGACAAGCTTCTGTCGGTTGGAATGTGCATGTCCAGAATACACACAGGTGTTTCAAACCCTGCAGTGCTTTTCAGTAAGTACCACATGCCCATAAAGATGCCCATGCATTTATTAAGTGGGAACACAGGGTGGCTGATTCATTACCTCTTCCTTCTAACCTTGATAAGATGGTTAGAATTTGCTCAGAAATGCCTTCTATTGACAATAGAAACGATGTACTGTCTCCGTTTCTTCTCTTGTTCCTTAACTTCCCACCCATACCTGTCTTTTCCTCTCCTGTCACTGTACTCCCTCATTAGCGTGCAACAAATTTGCACATTTTTCCCCTTGAGTAGATGTAGTTTCACTCTCCTTCCTGACTGGCTGGCCCTCTTACCTTTGGCGAATAACTTTGCCAGGAACGTTAAGGGAAAGAGTAATATTTCCTTTAGGAAATCTAGATGTATTATCTCATACAGATTTTTATAAGCACTTAGTGTTCCCGTGGAGCACACAGCCACACAGCTATCCCTTCCTACCTGAATGACCACTCGGTCCACGGTCCTCTCCTGACCAAGGTTATTAGCCTATGGTAGATTTACTCCAAGTCTGCTTGACACCAGAGTCTAGTCTGATGTTTCAACACTAAACCAGACTGTCCTTCCAGCAAGTCAGGCCCTCTGTGGCTCTCCGATGTAACTTTCCCTTGGAAGTGTAAACACTATGAGTGTTAAGTGTCTTTTTGGAAGTGGTGGTAGACTATGGCTGGGGCTTTCTGTTCTTAAGTTGAAGAATGAAAGTGACTCATCAGATTCCATTTGTACAGACCTGAGGACTGGAACTCCCCAACAGCTAGGGGAAAGAATGCTTTCAATCATGTGACATGGGCTCATTGTGTCTTAGGCTGAGCTGGATGACCTCCTCTAACCCCACCATTTGCTGCAAAGGAAGTCAAGAGACCAAGAAGCTCAGTGACTCGTCTGAGGATGCAGCTCTGTTTGAGGCAGGCCAAGACTGAATTTATTTTTATTGAAAATAAATTGCTTTTCCCAATCCACATTCATTCTGCTTGTTTTGCTTGTTTGTAAGAAGTCATGAGGATCAGAAAATTAAGTGCCTTGTAAAAATACAATTTCATATTAGAGAGTTTTATGGAAAATAATTGTAATAATAATGTCAGGAGTTCTAAACCCGTGTATTATAAAGCATTTCTGCCTTTTGCCAAACTAATATATAGAATTTCAGAGTCATATTTCTGCCACATAAAATTTCCAGAGAGTTGGACAGTTTCCTGTAAAAACTCTGCTGAATACTGACTGCCAAAGTTGGGAAACTCAGGATTTCCCAGCAACTCCTTCTTTCCTTTCTGGAGGAAATGCAAACTCCTCAGCATGTCACCTTTCCCAGTCAATCTGCTCTGTTGACACCACGACTCAAGTTCATCAACAGGTTTTGTCCTTGCCTACCTTATACGTTTCTCTTAAGATTCTGCATATACCCTCCCCTCGAAGCCCATCACATGAGTCGTACGTTCCTGGGATGAAGGGTTCATTTTTTTAAATTTCTTACACTACAGGACTTCTGGCAAATTCAGTCTTGTTCCTGGTATAAATCTGAATCAATCACTTGAATTCTTTGGTCCTTAATTTGTCATGAGTAATTCCTACCAGCTTGTCTTCCAGGGTTGTTCTGAACATTTCAAAAGTTAGAAATCTTGAAGTCAGACATACTGGCTTTAGTCTCTGCTGTTAGACAGTCCTGTGACCCCTGCAAGGTCATTGAGGTTTTGAGGTCATCAGCAATCTCAATGACACAATCTAGGCCTCAGCTTCTTCCTGGAAGCTCCTTCACTGTTTAGCTTTGATAAGTACTGCAGAGACCGTATACAATTATTTTATTAATTAATAGGCTGTGTATTGAGTCAACACCAATGAAATATTTTTCATGCCTTGACAAGGCTGTAGGTTGTTAGGAATTTCTGAAGACCGAAGAAATAAAGTTCACCGTGTTCTGGTGTACAGTTCAGTGGCATTTATGTATTCACAAGATTGTGTTTCCAGCACAACTCTGTAATGTGTTTGCATCGTGCTGCTTTTTGGTGGCCATTCTTACTAGGCCAAGAGTGGTGTCACTCATGGGTGGCACTTAACTCAGGCAAATTGTGTCCTAACATTGTATAGACTTCATCTTGTCTGAGATATCAACTATTTCAAGTGACCCTCTCCTTCTAAGGGTCCAGTTCCCTTGGCAGAGGGCTGGGCGTAGACATGAGAAGGACACTGACCCTCGTAGTAAGCCTAAGTGCATTTGCCTTGTTTGCTAAAGCAGGTCTCAATCATTGAGCAAGGCTGATTGGCAAGGAGAAACTGTGAGAAAAATTTCAGCCTAAGGATAAGTGGAACTAGACGTTAATGGCATGGCTGATGGCAAGGCTACAGAGGGTTTTCCAAGGGTTATCTTTGAGTGACACTGATGCCTGTCTTGCGGATTTCATGAATGATAAAGTCACACACACACACACACACACACACACACACACACACACACACACACACCGCTCAGCCCCATCTCACGACATGCTCACTTGACCTGGAATCCGTGGGTACCCATTATGAGCTCTCCCTGGCCTGTGTTGCCCTGCGCGATCACCTACATGATTTTCTGCACTCCTTAACAGACTGCAAGTCTCAAAGAGGAAGAGCCAGCCTAGCCTCTTTTTTGCTGCTGTCCTGTTTCCTGTTTTGTCAACCTGATACGAGTGAGAGTCATCTGGGATCTGGGAATTATTTTTTTTCTGAGACAATGTCTTCATCAGATTGGCCTGTTAGCAACTCCGTGGGGCTCTCTCTAGATAGTGAGTGAGGAGGGGGGACCCAACCCACCTTGTATGGTACCATCCTTGAGTAGTTGGTCCAGGGTGGGATAGTAGAGCAGGATGAGCAAGGCTGGAGGGAAAGCCAGTGAGCAGGACTCCTCTATGGCCTCTACTTCAGGTCCTGCCTCCCGGTTCCTGCCTTGGCTTCCCTCAGGGACAGAGTGTGAGCAGGACATGTAAGCCAAATAAACGCTTCCCTCTTTCAAGTTGCTTTTGGTTGTGGTGTCCTCATGGAAGCGATGGAAAACAAACTAAGATTGTTGCCTCTCCGCCCTCCTCCCAGCATCACTGGACATCAGGTTCAACAAAGAGTTCTCTAACAGGTAACTAATTTGACCGCAGGCCTGCACGTCTTTATTTGCTCCTCAAGTACGTCAGTTCGGGTGCTGTGAATGGTCCAGCATTCACGGTGCTTTTCAAAACCATAGCAGTTTTGAGCAGGAGCCATGCTCCCATGCCTTTCCCTAAACTGTTGCAGTTCTCTTCTGTACACCAACAGACAGCAGGGCTCTGTCCCTCCGCTGTGACAACCCTTCAAGGGTTTCAAACGAGCCGCCCATCCTCTGTGTGCCTATGCTATCCATCCCTACCACCTTCAAGAATTATGCGTAACACACGTTCTTACACACACCCATTCAGGGTAAGGGAGTTTGCACAGATGGGGTCAAGAGAGGGCCAGTACACAGACTCTGTCCTGAAGTACCTATGGTTTATCCTGTTTGTGCTTCCCCATGCTCTGGCCTTTCCCTAATTGATCGACGTCCCTTTCCAAACATGGGTTCCAGAATTTAACATTATATTCCCCAGGGGTCTGATGAGCACAGGATTTCAGGGGGAATATGACTCATGATCTCTTGCCACAGACCTCCTGATTCCAAGAACTTTCCGTCGTTCTCCATAGGGAGGGTTCAGGACTCATTGTGCTCTCTCTCTCTCTCTCTCTCTCTCTCTCTCTCTCTCTCTCTCTCTCTCTCTCTCTCTCTGTGTGTGTTTCTATAACACACACACATTATTAAAAGACATTTTGTGAAAAATTTGTAAGCTCTTTGTGTGTGGTAGGATTTCTGGTGATCAAAGTTGGGTGCATATATATCCTTACCATGAACTCCGTATCCTCAGTACACAAAAACCTTTCAGGGGAATTGAATTGCAGTGTTTTCATTAGATTGAAAACATAAGGATGGACAGATTAAAAAATAAAAACAAGCCAGGACATTTCACACTGTTGCTAATGGTTCTTTATGATGTTTCTGAAAGTAATTGGAAGGGAAACATGAACATCTGGCATGCGACTAAAGCTGTTTCTAATTATGGGGGTGTTTGTCTTCAAAGCAGAACAGACACTGGGGTGTCCTTGCATGTGCTTTTCTTCAATGATTCTTGCCCAGGACCTGGCAACCTCCAACAGCCTGTTCAAAGCACATCGAGTGGACTCCCCCCATTTTCACCTCTGACCTGAACAGTTTGGTTCTTAATGTCTTTAGACTTTGGTGTTGCTTTGAAGCTGCAAACGGGGGAGGGCTGGTTGTGCTGTTTCTTGGGTACTTTCTGTCCGTTTGGGTACTTGACCTGCCAGCAGGTCAGCAGAAGACAAGGTGCTTGTCCTCAAGGGTGCGTGGATGAATATGGGAGAAGTCCGCAGACTTGGTGGTCGGGTAACAAAGGATGGTTTCAGAAAAAGCACAGTGTACTTTGTGGCTGGCACAGTTTAGAGATGGCTTTGTGAGGAGTGATATAGATGGGCAAATTCAGTAGTTAATGTGCTGTCTATCTGTCTATCATCTATCTATCTTTCATCTGTCCATCCATCCATCCATCCATCCATCCAGTGTGTGTGTGTGTGTGTGTGTGTGTGTGTGTGTGTGTGTACCCTGCAACTGTCAAAGGACAACTTGAAATAGTTGGTTCTCTCCTTCTACCATATAGTTTCCAGTGATCAAACTCAGGTTTAGTGACAATTACCTTTATGCTCCCAGCCATTTTGCTAACCCTAATTAATATTTTAAAGTAATTTTTCTTGATTCAGTATGTTTTTATTTAACTGAATATGTGCCAGGAACTTGAACCTCCAGGGGGAAAACAAAAAAGAAAACTTGTTCTCATAAAGGTTGCTTTATGAAGAGCCTGTAGTTTCCTGTCCTCCGCATCACCCCAAAGTGCACCATAGCCTCACTCATGGCTGGAGGCAGATGCGGTGAAGTGAGGTCTTGAGCTCAGGATTTCATTGATGTGTGGAAGAGATGGTGAGAAGGCGCCATAACCCCAACTCTCTCAGAAATTCCTCCTGGGCTTTTGAGGCATCTCTAGCTATGCCTGTAGGGGGATCATTAAATTTATAAAATTTTAAACAGACTTTGTCCTGATTATAATGTTGTCACCAATTCATTCTTCATTAGGTTGTATTTTTTAAAGAAAATACTGATAATCAAGTAAGAAATTAGCATCATCTTCTTCCTTGCATGCTTTCTAGCTTTTTATATTATACACTATTGTCAGAATTTACCTAGACTGTTAATTTATCTCTGCTTATAGCAATGATTTTCAACCTGCGTGTCACAACCCCCTTGGAGGATCACATATCAGAAATCATGCATATCAGGTATTTACATTACAATTCATAACAGTAGCAAAATTACAGTCATGAAGTAGCAAGGAAATCATTGTTTTGTTGGTGCTCACCACAACATGAGGAGCCGCATTACAGGGATGCAGCATTAGGAAGGTTGAGAAACACTGGAATATAACTTTAGTTCCAGCTATCAGCTTTGTTGTGTTCTTTCTCGGTGATATGAAATATTTTAAGTCTCTTACATGTTTTTGAAAGTCTTGTATCCTGTTCTTGCCCATTTTTTAAGTCTCAAAGGAATACTTAAGTGAAAAGGATAGTACTTATAACTGTCTAGAAATGACTTGGCTTCTATTTACTGAACTAACAGACCCAAACTGGGCCTGCCAATTTAGCAATAGAATCAGCAAAGTTTTCAAGTTGGCAGATTTGGTGCCCAGAAATTCTGGCTTCAGCTTGTAGATGAGAAGACTGAGGTTCAGAGAGACGTGATTTAGGACAAAGCCCTGAGCTCCCCAGACAGCAGCTGCAGGAGACAGACATGGCAACCCCAGTTTGTCTTCTGATGTTTCCACGGGAATATGGAAGCCAGAACATGTCACAACTGGTCATTTCA